TGTCGATAAAGTCGAGGCCGAGGTCCAGCATCATCTTGACCGAGCTCTTGGCGAACGTCGACCGACCGGCCTCGGTGCTCGCGATGGCACTAAACTTGTCGCTCAACGTCCAGCCGCCGATCGAGAGGCCAAACTTGGTGTTGGGGAACTGCTTCTTGAGCTTGAAGCCTTGGCCAAACGACCCGTACACGTTGTTGCCCGTGTCGCTCCACGAGTCGGTCGGGTACCGCTTGTCGGTTGCGGCCCACGAGTCGTAGATGCCAACCGTGCCGTCCGCGGCGGGCTTGCCAAAGGCGTAGTTGATGTGCGTGATGCGCGACCAGTCGAGATCGTAGAGGTGGAAGTTGCGGCCGTAGATACCCCACTCCATGAAATAGACGACGTTCTTGTAGCCGGTGGCGTCCACCGACGACGCGGCGAGCGCAGCAGCAGCGAGAAGAGGCTTGGAGATGACGACCATGATGGAAATCGGAAAATGAGAGCTGTGTTGGATCTCGAAGTCGACGCCACTCTCTGTATTGACCCTCCTGCGCCCACGCTAAAAGAGAACCGGCTTTCCGGACGGAAGCGGTCGTTTGGTGTAAATATTGGGACGCATACCAAGACGAGCACCTTGAGGTTCAAAAAGCAAACATACTACCGTAGTAGCCTATCTTGGTGGGACGATGCTTGGAGGGTCGTATAATGCTTCAATTCTCAGATCCGCGAATGGACGCCGAGTTCAAAGGTGGACGTTCACGCGTGTTCGCTCAAAACGTGTGTTTTGGCGCTCTATATTCCATGGCCGCCGCTGCTAATGTAGTGCAATATATCAGACCAGGAACAACCAAATGGTCCATACTTTGACATTTGAAAGTGGATGCTTTGTTTATTTATTGGGTTGGGGTTGATGGCGGTGATTGGATAACATGTCTGCAAAATAAGATCGAAGGAAGCGGGCATGGTTTGATGTGTTCGACATTACTTGAGAGAGTTCTCGTCCGTCATGGTGCAACTGGGGGATGGTATGCAACTTGATGCTGTGGGCGGTATGCGCATGGGTGCTCTCGAGCAATCCGCCATAAGGGCTCCGCCTACCGATTCGGAAGCCGCTACAGTACAAGTTGGCCCTGCTGTGCTTGTGACTAACACACCAGCTTCAAGAGACATCGTCCCACCGCGAATGACCAAAGTTGGACAAAAACGTGTTGCTATCTGTGTTGACATATCGGTACGCAGTTGTTCGATTTCATACAAAGTGGGATGATGTTAAACCAGAACTTCTTTAAAAGTCACCGTCGAAACCGATGGTTAGCCAGCAGAAAGCGTCGAGCTCCGTGCAGCCCGTGCCGTTGATACAGCTGAAATTGCTCCGATTTACCCCTTTCGCTCATCCATTCTGCCACCGGCGAATCAAATTTTAAGTCATCTGAGGCAAAACGTTCTCTAGTAACTTAAGTCCATAGACGCCCTTACTCGTCGAGTAACATTCTGCCAAATAGTCACACTACAGTGTACAGATTGCTTCGGGCAAAGCTGCGATCTGTGAATGCTTGCGCCGAATGCTCAAGTGTAATATATCGGAACCAGATGACCCAAGGTATCCTGTGTCATTTACAATGAAGTTGCAGATACAAGCTGCTCAACCTATTGAACGACTCAATGATCCCACCTGATTCGCCGGCGCCGCACGACCCTTGGCTCAGCTCAGATCCGACTTTTCTCGCGTCGACTTCGAGATCCAACACAGCTCTCATTTTCCGATTTCCATCATGGTCGTCATCTCCAAGCCTCTTCTCGCTGCTGCTGCGCTCGCCGCGTCGTCGGTGGACGCCACCGGCTACAAGAACGTCGTCTATTTCATGGAGTGGGGTATCTACGGCCGCAACTTCCACCTCTACGATCTCGACTGGTCGCGCATCACGCACATCAACTACGCCTTTGGCAAGCCCGCCGCGGACGGCACGGTTGGCATCTACGACTCGTGGGCCGCAACCGACAAGCGGTACCCAACCGACTCGTGGAGCGACACGGGCAACAACGTGTACGGGTCGTTTGGCCAAGGCTTCAAGCTCAAGAAG